AGATGCTTAGCCAACAGTGGCTGTATTTGGAACTAAATTATTCTAATCCATCATTATAAAGTTACGGACAATCTTCAAGGACTTGGAATAAATTAATGGCTCAGAGGAGTCATGAAAGGCCACAAAGTCAAGGAAAAATGGTTGGGGAGAGAAAACATTCACTAAGTTTAAATGTTGGAACACCTCTTTTCCTGAGAACATAGTGCAACCCTGGCCCTCTATCTTCTTCCAGAAACTAAGAGGAAGACTTCATGGACTTCTGAAAAGAGTATAGTGGACTTCTCAAAAAGTGGAAAACTTGGAAACTTCTTTATTTTTCTTTTAATAATCATTCAACCACAGTGAATGTAGGAGAAAATTGCTTAACTTTTTAGCAATCCAGTTGAAGGCAATTGGCACATCTCCTACAGTGGATGGTACCTAAAAAGCTATTCAATTTGGTACGGATTGAAGTTAGTGTGCGGTGATTTTGTATCCAGGTTCTGAAGTAATCCAATGACTTGGCTCGCAAACTCCTCGATGTGACGATCTATGATTGAATTAGGTTATATGGGGATCCCATGATTAAGTAAAAGAACATCAATACAACCACCCTTTTAGTGGCCAAATCGTGATTATAATGAACTCTTGTTTGTTGTTATGGATCCCCACAAGAATGGGTAGGATAGAACAGAAGGATTCACAGCATAATTGATCTATGTTTCTATGGAAGGAGTATAGAACATAGTATTTCACACAGTGAAATAAAAGAACATTTCTCTGCAATCCTAGTTGACACGATTCGATCCTCAACTGTACATAGTGTCACTTGTTCTCGTCTACAACTCGAACACATTCTATGCTTCTTCAACTCTGTATATTATAGTTAGCGTAAGAGAGTGTGGAGTCCTTAGAGACAATTTGCCTTCTCTTAAATCTCTACCTTTGGCTTTGGATGAGTAGTTAATCATGCCAACATAGAAGCATCACAGCACATCTCCAGATGATATAAAGTCTTGCCCTCTGCTCTCTGATTTGCTTTGAACATTGCTGCCATAACCAGATCTTTGAACTCCTCATGATGAATGTAAGAACAAGAAGAAGAAGAAGAACTAAAAGAGAGAAACAATGGAAGTTTAGTTTTTGTGGCCTGGAGATGAACTAAGAGGGTAGTGATTATATAGAGAGAGGATTGTGAAGCTTTGTGAGAAACAACATGTGGTGGGAGACAGATGTTGGCCCATGATTGGTCTACTGTCTAAGAGAGATGATAAACAGGCTTATTCTCCTTGTCCCCTTGCTACGCCCACCTGATATAGACTCCTCATCTGTTTCCTCCATTGTAGGGCAACACTTGTATAACTTATTCACATCTACTGTTTCGCGAATTCTAGAGTCCACCAGATAATTGAGCATGGCCAAAAGGTGGGAGAAAATATCAATTGGTTTATATTAGATCAGGAGGGAGAAATTATGGTATACAGCAGCCATAATTCTCATGTCAAGCCTTTCTTATCTAATAATTAACTGATAGACTCCCGAGAGCTGTCAAGTCTCTGTACATGGAACGAAATCTGGTAATGATGATTTGGTCAACACTTAAAAAACTTTTTAAATTAAAATTCTAATGATGATTTAGTTGGTCGTTTATAATTACATTTGGTAATTAAGCGAACAAATTCGAATGCAAAAAAATTTATTCAACTTAGATTGTTAGCAAATATTGTCATATTTGAGTTTTTCCTTTCAAATTTTAAAATGACACCTTTAACACTCCAAACCCACTGCTATTAGATAGTAGATATTGTCTTTTTTGGACCTTTCTTTCCGGGCTTTATAATGACACACAAGGAACTTAACTGTAAAAGTCTAAGCTCACCGTTAGTAGATATTGTCTTCTTTGGACTTTCCTTTCTAGACTTTACAATGGCACACAAGGAGCTTGACTGTAACAGCTCAAGCCTACTGCTAGCAAATATTGTCTTCTTTAGGCTTTTTTTTCCGGGATTTAGAATGACACATAAGGAGCTTAATTGTAACAGCCAAGCCCACCGCTAGCTGATATTATCTTTTTTGAGTTTTTCCTTCTGGGCTTTTCCTCAAAATTTTAAAGCGTGTTTACTAGGGAGAAGTTTCCACACCCCTATAAAATATGGTTTGTTCTCCTCTCCGACCAACGTGGGAGGTCGAAGTATAGACCTATTGAATTGAAAGGCAGGATGGAAACTGGCCACTTCATCCAATTATTGTAGATTTGGAATAAGTAGAAGAGAATAACCCACGGATAAGTATGAAACGAAACCCACTTCTAGTTGTTCCAATCTCAAATCCAAATACAATTAATGTTGTCCGACATGCCGTCCACCTATCATTGCCATACTCAAAACTCTTTCACTTTCCTCTTCGTCTCTGCTCTTTTTTCCTGCAGCACAGCCCTTCCTCCTTTCCTCATGTTCGACAGGTCGGCCCACTCCAACCTTTTGATGGCCCCAGCCCACGTGAGAGTTGTTCGTGCATCTCGTGGGGTTGCCGTTTGTCAATGAACTGAGTACATCCATTGCAAAAGTCATGTTATCTTATCTTTTGCTTTCGATAAGGTGTTTGAGGCCAATCTAACTGGATATTTTGATGGTTGTGAATTGTGAATTGTGATCCAATTCCATCTTTACCCTACCTTGCATGTTTTCAAGACTTTTAATATCAACTCTTTTCAAAGTGCCTGTGTCCCATTTTTATAATCACATTTCCAATCCTCGTTTGACCAAATGATTCTCTGTCGACATGTTCATTGAGTCTGTTGGAACCTATCTTGAACAAGGCGAATAATTTTTGTTTAAACAGAATATGGGAGAGGGAGCGGTGAGAGATTTTTTCTCATTAGCTTAACAGGGTCAGGAAGAGGATTACATTCCCTGTTCTCATCTCCGACCTCGCCCCAATGCCCACTATGTAGATACATACATATACACTTGTTAGGTAAAAGTTATGTTGTAGATACATACCAAAGGCATATGCTGAGTTTTCTTGATGAAAAGCATCAAACTTTGGGTGAGAAATGAAAGTGGTAGGAATAGGCACATCCTTGGTTTCTTCAAGCCGTATTACCACAAGGGAAGAGAGCTTAAGGAAACAAATCTGACAACTCATGAAACTACCACAGCCACTTATTGCAGCAATGCAATAATACGAGGAGTGTATGCAGCAATATTCCCCCCAACGTCAACTTCATGGGTTTGAGGCTCAAATATTTCCAATCCAAAACAGTTTTGAGGTTGAGTTTGAGGCTCAAATATTTCCAATCCAAAACAGTTTTGAGGTTGAGTTTGAGGCTCAAATATTTCCAATCCAAAACAGTTTTGAGGTTGAAAGAGTTTGGGGCTAAAATTTCATCCTCGTCATCGTCCCAATAATCAGAAAAGAGCGAAAGAAATTCAATTATTATTGTCGGCTTTGAATCCCCATCGGCTATTTTCAATCTCCGACTCTCCTTCCTTCTTACGGTGGAATTTATGGTGCTTCTTTTCGATGTTGGCCATAACTTCTGTCCATTGACAGATCTGATTAGATTGCTAGGCTCTCTTTTGATAATGACCGTTGTTATTATGTCCCAAACTATATTCAAATCTTTATCGGAATAGCTCAAATCACTAGAATCAAAACTCCAATGTAAATCTTGATAGGTTCCTTATGAAAACTAAGGAGAAAATTTTTATGTTGAAAATCTTCTTGCTTACTGATTTCGATTGTTTTAGAAGTAAATTTCGAATAAATTCCTCTTTTTTTTTGTGGATTTTGATATTTGTTTATTTTTTTATGGATTTGGGTGAAGGTTATTAATGTTTTACCTGAGATATTATGTTGGGTAGACTTATTTCCACTACGAATCGCTGATTAACTTCGAGTTGTGCTCTGTCTAACATGACTGACTCAGATAGGTATCATAGTTGGTTTAGACTTGAGTCACTCCCTTTTATGTCCAAACAGCTTTATTTTCATGAGGAATTGTGTCGGAATAAACCTAATTCTATTAGGAGGTCGTCATTTGACTGCTACATACACTTAATTTATAATATAGACTCTGCATGGGTACCCTAACAAGTTTAGTGCAGAACTTGTTAATTGTATTCCTAGACCAATTGGGCTAAAACAAAGGTAGGTAAGTACTAAGAAAAATGTGGACAATTAGGCAACACTTTTTAAGTATTGATATTGAGGGTCTCACGTATGAGAGTCATTTTACCCTTTTAAGTGGGTAGCCGTGGGGCTACTGGAAGAGTATATATTTTATGTTCACTCGTTCTATTCTTCTTTTCTTTTCAAATTGTACTTAGAGTTACGAAATGCATGACAATGATGTTCCGTCTAATCTAATAAAGCTCGTATCTTAGATATTTTGTAGTGGTGACACTCTAAAATTCAGTTTAAAAAATTCGGTTGTTATACTATTTTTGTCGTATAGCTTGCATACTCTATATGAAAGAATACAACATTTTATTCAAATTTAATTCGAATAATTTTAACTATTTAAAGAGAAAAACAAAATTAAAAACTTAAAAGGAACTATTAGAATTAAAAAAAAAAAACATTATGAACCCATGAGATGATTTGGAAAGTTTAAAGAGGATAGAAAGAGGCTAAAATATAAGAAATACACGTGAATTTGACCTTTTGTGTTAAAAATACTTTATTTAAAATTTGCTATATTCCTCTTTATTTATCCTAAAGGTTTAAAAATTGTCTTTAGAGAGAAATTCATTAAAATTTTGGATGACTCGAAAGGTAAGAAATGAACACGATAATTCCTAATTATATTTCTACGGTAATGGAAACATTTTCGAAATAATTAAGATAATATTGTAAATTTTGAAATAGTATTTAATAATATTGTAAATTTTGAAACAATAGATAAAGAAAAAAAAAAAGAAAAGAAAAAAGGTGTTTTAAAAATAAATGATAAAGTTGGGGGTATTTTTTTTTTTGAAAAATTAACCAATAAGAAGATGAAAAAAAACAGAATCAAAACCGATGAAACAAAATTCGCCCTACGTAAAATAATCCAGCCGCCAAAATTTCTCGCGCAGCTGTCCTTCATTTTTCGGACAGAACGAGGTCGATGCGCCGGAGAGATTTCTTCATTTTTGATGCAGCCATTGGATATCGAAACTGAACTTCTCAGGTTCAAGGTAAGATTTCATTTTCTTTCCTATATTTGAATTTCAAAAGTTTTTGACCGCAACTGGACTGTAATCGGAGACAAACCCATTTGTCAATCCAAAAATTCCACCAAACCTTCTCTTGTTTTGATTCGAATTTGAAATTCAGTGAACTCCCGACCGTCATTTACCCCAAATGGACATTGCTTTCAATTCTTCGTCGTTACTTCGATTGAACAAGATTCCCACTGCCCTTGTCTTTCCCACTCATCCTCGTAAGATTTCAGTCGTCCAATCCAAGCGGTTTGTTCCAATGGCGGCCCTTACAGTTTCCAATGCTATAGGACTGTCGGAAACATTCAGCAAATTGAAGGAACAGGGCAAGGTAAATTTGTTCAACCGTTTATTATCTCCAACTTTAATTTTTTGACACTTCGTTTCTGGGTTGTTTGTTTATATTTGCTCTTGTTTTGTTGAATTATACTTCTTCTGCATTTTGGTGTTCACTGTTTGATACTCTTGAGAGTCCTCATTTCAATTCAATCTAATCAATCCAAGTCTTTACTGGGTTAAATTCTTTCACCAATGCTTAATTGGGATTGATCATGAGATGGGTTAGAGTTCTTCATTCATCAATGTTGTTCTAAATTCATACATGTTTTAAAGGTCGCATTTATCCCCTACATAACTGCTGGTGATCCTGATCTTTCCACCACGGCTGAGGCATTGAAGGTTCTTTCCAACCATGGATCAGATATAATTGAACTTGGTGTTCCATATTCAGATCCCTTGGCAGATGGCCCTGTTATACAGGTTGAATATCTCTCTATCTCTCTTCATTTTTTTCATTCTTAATGTATTGTTCCTTATTCAATTGTCTTTGAATGCGTTCTGTAGGCTGCAGCGACTCGGTCCTTGGCTAGGGGGACAAACTTTAGTGCAATCATTTCTATGCTGAAGGAGGTACTCTCGTTGTACCATGAAACGTGCTGTAGATAATATTAATAGTTTTTCCTCTTCCAATTTTGATCTCAAATTATTTTAGGTAATAGAAAGAATAACTGTCACTTATATAACGACTTAACGCACACCAAATGTGTTATTTTGCGAACTAGGTATAATGAGGTATAGTAACCTAGTCATTAACATTTAAGGTTGTCGTTTGAGAATTTGTTTAATTAGATAATACTGGAACGGAGTCACACTCGAAGCTGCATTTCACCAGGCTGTAAAATTTGTCTTTCCTTTAACGAAGAAATATGTACGTGTATACTTAAATTAGCTCTTGCACTTCTTTTTCGTTAGGAAACTTGAGTTCTCGTGCACGGCATCATCAAATTAAATGTCTTTTGGAATAAGCTTCTGTCTCTATATGCTTCACTGCCATTTAGTTTCTCATTAATGGAATTGAAAGTTGACATATTTTTGTTTTGTTTCCGGCTGCTTAGGTTATTCCTGAACTGTCTTGCCCAATTGCCCTTTTTTCATACTATAACCCAATTCTTAAGCGTGGCGTCGAGAACTTCATGATGACAATAAGAGATGCTGGTGTACATGGTAATTAATGAATTAACCCAATCTTTTATAATGAATTATGTTCAAACTTTTTATCAATTTTTTTTGCCCTACTTTCAAGATAACATGACAATTAGGTCAATTGTCTGGTACTAAATGTTATGGGTTGGCATTTGCTCTAACTTGCTAGAAATGTTGGTTTATTTAGTAGAACATCATTAAATTGTCATTTTCTTTAACCCAGAGAACGGTACAAAACTGAAGTATGTATTAAATTGTCATTATATCATTGCTTAATGAACATGATATTCCAAAATCCTTGTTTCAAATTTATATGTGCACTTGGTGTGAGGTTCTAATGAGCTTGTTTCTGAAATCATGAACTTTGCGAACAACTTCTTTTCTCTTAATGAGAAAAGAGAGGACAGAGGCATATAGGAAGATTATCTGTCTGCTTCACTATTATGTGATTATCTAACTTAATATCATCAACTTCGTGATGAGTCAATGACTATTTGAAAATGAATAATGTTACAACTCTAAATGTAATTTTTCTTGCTTTACAAACTTCCATGGAAAGAAACCTTTCTGAATCTTCGGTTCGTGAATATGTTTGTAATTACATTGCACTTTCTTGCAGGGCTTGTTGTTCCGGACGTTCCTCTGGAAGAGACTGAAATTTTGAGAAAAGAAGCTGTAAAGTACAACATCGAGCTGGTGAATTCCTTTTCTCATAATGGTTGTATTATCTAAATTGATTATTTGTTTTAGGTTTTTGATATTTATTTATGATTTTTACTTAAAGATATTGCACATAGTGGCAAAAACAACCTCTGAAATGGACCTAGCAAATGGAACAGTCCAAAGATCTTGATAACTTCCCCGTTGATTCCACACGTAAATTAGGGACATAATCTGCAGTGCTGAAGATTAGTATATTATTACTTGGTTGAACCTGCAGAGTATCCAGTTTTCTTGATCACGATTGTTAAGGCGGAAAACAGTTGCCTCGAGTACTGAAAATTATTTGATTGTTGAACTGTACTTCCCTGCATTCTTTTCATATCTGTAGAATGAAATTATTAAGGTAAAAAGTAGCCAATTCGACTCGTTTGTCTAAAGATAGGATGATTAGTTGTTATACATCATCCATTTGTTTGGTAATGCTTTGTTCACGAAATCAGAAAAACGGGCGAAATCTGAAGAACAGGTGGAGTTGTTATACATCATCATTAGTTGTTATACATCATCATTAGTTGTTATACATCATCCATTTGTGTGGTAATGCTTTGTTCACAAATTCAGAAGAACAGGCAGAGTGTATTGTTTCTAGATATTTGCTGGTTCTTATGAATTTTGTACTCTGCTAAAGGTACTCTTAACTACACCGACCACGCCTAAAGATAGGATGAAAGCGATCGTTGAAGCTTCAGAGGGATTTGTGTATCTTGTAAGACCTTTTTCTGTTTTTGTCTCTTTATATGCAAATAAGTTGTAGCTTTTTCTTGTTGTTCATGGTGTCATTGAACTTGAAATTGTCTTGCTTGTAACATTACCATGACGGCACATCTAGAGTGTTCCAAAATTATTTTTCAGAATGGTATTTTAACAATGTGATTATTTTCAGAACCCTCTTTTTGATGGAGTTAAGTTATAGAACAACAACAGAATTGTGTAGGAAGAAGAGAGATCGTTTTCGGTTTTGTTGGAGCATATTGCTTTAATCGCTTTGTTTTCGTGCACAAACGGAATGATAGATTGCATTGAAAGAACAAGGAGTTTTGGTGAAGATAGTAAATTACAGTTATTCTCTATGTTACTTCCTCTGTATTATACCATTGAGATCGAGTCGAAATTACGATGTCCTTCTCTGTCAGACTTGCAATATGAAATTTGTTTTCGTTCGATTATAGGTGAGCTCCGTAGGAGTTACCGGTGCCCGTACATCAGTGAGTGATCGAGTTCAAACTCTCCTTGAGGAAATCAAAGAGGTGCATCTTCTTCAGTCTTAATAACTATCTAGGATGTACTTGTAATAGCTACAAATTTGAAAGCTGATGACTTTGAAACCAATCAATAAAATAAGCCTTACACTCTCTACTTTGTTTGGCAGGCAACAGAAAAACCAGTGGCAGTAGGTTTCGGTATATCAAAACCCGAGCACGTGAAACAGGTAAAAGAATTTCGTCATACACTGAAACAGTTTACTTCTCCTGCATTTTTTCTGGATAATATGTTGTTGTGTTCGTCCATAGGTGGCCAACTGGGGGGCTGATGGGATCATAGTTGGTAGTGCTATGGTGAAGCTGTTGGGAGAAGCTCAGACTCCTGAAGAAGGATTGAAGGCACTAGAAAGCTTCACCAAATCCTTAAAATCTGCTCTCTCCTAATCAAATTTTGATGGAATAAGAGGTCAGCTAGCTCTATCACTGAAGCCTGCTAGTGTTTTACAGTCATCTTTAAATGATACTTAAAACATTTCTCTTTCTTTTTAGCTGAATAAGACTGTCAGTTTAGTTCTGTTTAAGGATATTGCTTGGTGTTTTAGCTAATATAAGTTTTGTTCTTTCTGGTTCAAAAGGTTCCACTCTCATGCCTGCATTTTTGTTAAGGTTTTGAGTATAGGAAGCTCTTTAGTTGAAGGACGTTTCAAACACAAGTTAATGTGTGTAAATTTGCAATAACTAAGAGCTCGCCAATAAATCTAAGAAACTCAGCCAACTAAAACTGTTACAAAATCTATATAGCATGTGATAAAACATGGAAGACTGAAGGTATTACCGACCGTGCACTCATCTCTACAAGCCTCCTCTTAAATAATTATCTACCGGTCTAATTCTGTGAGATTCCACGTTGATTGGAGAGAGGAATGAAGCATTCCTTATAAGGATGTGGATGCGTCTCCCTAGTGGACGCGTTTTAAAACTTTGAGGGGAAGCTCAGAATGGAAAGCCCAAAGAGAACGATGTGTGTTAGCAATGGGCTTAGGTTGTTACAAATGATATCATAGCCAGACACTGGGTTGTGTGCTAGCAAGGGCGCTACCCCTGAATAAAGGGTGGGATTGTGACATCCTATATCAGTTGGAGAGGGGAACAAAGCATTCCTTATAAGGGTTGGAACCTCTCCCCAGTGGACGCGTTTTAAAACCGTGAGGGGAAGCCTAGAAGTTGGAGAGAGGAACGAAACATTACTTATAAGAGTGTGGAAATCTCTCCTATTGAAGGGAAGTCCAGTAGGGAAAGCCCAAAGAAGACAATATTTGTTAGTGGTGGGCTTGGGTTGTTACAAATTCCAATCCAGAGGCCCCGTTGGTATGATAGAGTTCAAGCATAGATCTCCTCTATGCGTCATCTTTTAAGACTCACCACTTCTTCGTTCGACACTCAAGAATTCCGATGAGTTAAAGGCAAAACTTTGTGACCATTTGTTAGGGACAACAACCTTCTACGTATCTCTACAATAGTATAATATTATCCGCTTTAGACATAAGTTCTCGTGACTTTACTTGAAGAATGACTCAAATGAGTTTATACCAATCGAGATATTATCCATAGAATTAATGATCGGATTTAAAGTTTTGAAAGGTGCTTCTATCTGTGCATGAGAATGAGAATTTGAATAATAATTTGTTTGGATGTATGTATATGATGATTATTATGAAGGGCCATGCCTATTCTTAAATTTGAAGTTTTGGTATAACCACAATTTTCCCTGTCACCCATCAATGCAATACCTGTCCTTGTATCAATTATTGTTTGGTGGGCTTAATATTCATTACATGCACCAAAGTTTCTCTATTTAAATTTATTCTACCCATCAACATCATGCCTTTAAGATATTGAGCTACATCAATTTGTGCAAATTTGAATTTCGAAAAGAATAGTTCGACTCATCTGGTTCTAAATTTTAATTCGTATCAAGTATTTAACAACTCAAGCTCACTGCTAGCAGATATTATGCCCAAAGCTTACCGCTAGTAGATATTGTGCCCAAAGCTCCTCGCTAGCAGATATTGTGCCCAAAACTTATTGCTAGAAGATATTGTGCCGAAATCTCACGGCTAGCAGATATTGTGCCCAAATCTCACCGCTAGCAGATATGGTGCCCAAGGTTTACTACTAGTAGATATTGTGCTCAAATCTCACCGCTAGCAGATATTGTGCCCAAGGTTTACTACTAGTAGATATTGTGCTCAAATCTCACCGCTAGCAGATATTGTGCCCAAGGTTTACTACTAGTAGATATTGTGCTCAAATCTCACCGCTAGCAGATATTGTGCCCAAGGTTTACTACTAGTAGATATTGTGCTCAAATCTCACTGTTAGCAGATATTGTGCCCACATCTCACCGCTAGCAGATATTGTGCCCAAGGTTTACTACTAGTAGATATTGTGCTCAAATCTCACTGTTAGCAGATATTGTGCCCACATCTCACCGCTAGTAGATATTGTGCCCAAAGCTTACCGTCATCAGATATTGTTCTCTTTGTGCCTTCCCTTTTAGGCTTTCCCTCAAGGTTTTTAAAACGTGTCTCATAGGGAGGGGTTTTCCATACAAACAATGTTCTGTTCTCCTCTCCAACCGATGTACGATCTCACAATCCACTCTTTTCAGGGTCAGCGTCCTCGCAGGCACTCGTTTCTCTCTCCAATCGATGTGGGATCTCACAAATTAGATCCATAAAAGTTTCGGAACTAAATTTATAATTTTGAAAGTTCAGAGACCAAATACACACGTTAGTCTTAAAATTCAAAGGTTCGAATTCCTTTATCGACACGATTAGGTTAAAACTTTAATGAGTCAAAATTGGTCAAAACGGGCTTTGCTGGCTCCCTCTCAACATACAGTCTGTTTACTATTATCATTCCAACCAAGAACAGACATAGCCACCAAGCTCTCAAAGCGAAAGAAACGATGTCGTTTGAAGAGACAGAGCTGAGGCTAGGGTTGCCTGGAAATAATGTTAGATCAGAAGTGAGGAGGAAGAGAGGGTTCCATGAGGAGCCAGGTACAAATCACAAGCCTCCCCTACCCAAGTAAGTTCTACTTCGTCTTTTAGAGTTCGAGTAACGTTTTCTTAGGGTCGATAACGTAAATCACCACTGAATCGAAAAGCTTAAATGGATAGAAGTAAGTAGAAAACAGTCTTAAGTGGAGGTCAAAACGTACACGGATTGTATTTGAGTTGAGTTGGGTTGAGAGAATTTTTTGAACAAACTCGAAATTCCAGGTTGGTTAGGTTGATGACCCGAACAACCCGAATAGAGTTCATTACTCAACCTAACCCAACCCAATTTTTATCGTTTGAGTTAGTCCAAATTAGTCGAGTTATCAAGTCATAATAGCACCCCTAATTAGAGAAAGATAAATGGCATTATAGAGGTTCTAAGTACATACAAGACCTCTAACTCTGTCCCTTACCGAGATTACTTTAACACAACCCGAGTGTTTACTTAAGCTTATGGGTTGATCGAGAATGTCGAGTAATATTGTTGTTGCGAGCTTTGTAGGGCACAAGTGGTAGGTTGGCCACCAATAAGGTCGTACAGAAAGAACAGTCTAGCCCTCCGAAAGGGTAGCAACGAGGAGGTGGTGCTAATCAGTAGGAATAAGAATGGAAATATCGGAGCAGCTAGGTTCGTGAAGGTTAGCCTCGATGGTGCACCTTATCTTCGCAAAGTCGACTTGACCATGTACAACAGCTACAAACAACTCTCCCATGCCCTAGCCAAATTCTTCGGTGCCTTCACCATTGGTATTTAACGGGTTCTCGAACTTTTAATCAATAAATTCTCGAAACATTAGAATCTAGACGTGTAATTTAACGTAATTTAACATAATTTACAGAAATATAAAGAAATTTAATAATTTTTTTTTTTTCATTTTCCCCGACTCTAGGTCACTATGGATCCCAAGCAGTTGGGATGAAAGACTTCATGAATGAAAGCAAACTAATAGATCTTTTGAATGGTTCGGACTACGTTCCAACCTACCAAGACAAGGACGGTGATTGGATGCTCGTCGGTGATGTTCCATGGCAGTAAGTGATAATTATCTAGAATTTTTAAATATTTTATTTTAGTCTTCAATTTGTGAAAATCTACTATGATTCAAGGTTCGATTCGAAAATAACTGTATCAAATTTGTGCTAAATCCACCGTGAAAGATGCAAGAAATAACTCGAGTATAATACGTCTCGCAATATCCATGCAGGATGTTTGTTGAATCTTGCAAACGTCTACGTATAATGAAAGGAAAGGAAGCCATTAACCTCGGTAAGATTGATAGATTTGTGTGTTTTCAGTATCAGTGAATGTAGAGATTTGAATTTATCGAACATATTGTTTTAAACAAGTCCTAATCTATATCCTTAACATATCGGGACGTTTTTTTTTTTTCACCGAGGGCTGTAGAGAAATGCAAGAACTCCAAGAACTAACTTCACCTTTGATATGGGCAAGGCATGCTAATTGGTTGGTGTGATTTGCATATATATATATATATATATATATATATCAATCATAATGTATAATATTAATTATGTATCTTTGTGTAGTGTTTGTGTGTATACAATATGGTCTACTTTTTATTTAAGTGATTTAATTTGTATTGTGATTAATGTAGAATATAATCTTTGTTCCATCCCGTTTTCGGTTCCGTTTAACTAACGTAGAGAAATTGCTCCCTGCTTCCTCCTCCATTTTTTGTTTAAACAGAGATTCTCCATCATGTTTGAGGCAGGTCCTCACGACTCGATTTCAATTAAAGGTTATAATTGATACTCATCTTCAAAATTCTAGTCAATTTGAGCATAATTTAGGCGACACAGATACAAATTACAATATTATAATGTTAATGACTCGATCTCTCCCACTCTTGAAATTGCCCTCCTTCGAGAACTGCTCAATCCCACCACTGGCAGATATTGTCCTCCTTGGGATGTTTCATCCGAGCTTTCCCTCAAGGTTTTAAAATGCGTCTACTAGAGAGAGGTTTCCACACCCTTATAAAGAATGTTTTGTTTCCCTCTTCAATTGATGTGGGCTCATAATCCACCCTCCTTCGAAAACCAGTGTCCTCGCTGGCACTCGTTTTCTTCTCCAATCGATGTTGGACCTCACAATCCACCCCTTTCAGGACCTAGAGTCCTTGCTGGCACACCACCCCGATGTCTGGCTATGATACCATTTGTAACAACTCAAACCCAGCCATAGTAGATATTGTCCTCTTTGAGCTTTCCCTCAAAGTTTTAAAATGCATCTGATAGGGAGAGGTTTTCACACCCTTATAAAGAATGTTTTGTTTCTCTCTCCATTTGATGTGGGATCTCATAGTTCACCCTCCTTCGAGAACTAGTGTTCTCGCTGGCACTCGTTCTCTTCTCCAATCGATGTTGGATCTCACAATCCACCTCCTTCAGGACCCATAGTCCTTGCTGGCATACCACTCCGATGTCTGGCTATGTTATCATTTGTAACAACTCAAACCCACCAATAGCAGATATTGTCCTCTTTGAGCTTTCCCTCCCAGATTTTCTCTCAAAGTTTTAAAACACATCTGATAGGGAAATGTTTTCACACCCTTGTAAAGAATGTTTCGTTTCTCTCTCCAACTGATGTGCGATCTCATAATTCACCCTCTTTCGAGAACCAGTGTCCTCGCTGGCACTCGTTCTCTTCACCAATCAATGTTGGATCTCACAATCCACCCCCTTGACGGCCCAGAGTCCTTGCTAGCACACCGTCTCGGTGTTTGGCTATAATACCATTTGTAACAACTCAAACCCACCGATAGAGAGAGGTTTTCACACTCTCGTACTGACGTGGGATCTTGTGTTTAGCCTGGCCCATCCGTTGAGAAAAACAAAATTGAGCCCAAGCCCACTTTGTAAAATAAAATAAAATTAATAAATAAAACAAAGAGGAAAACCCTAACCACCGTGTAAAATAAAACAACTCTTTCCTCTGTGCTGACTTCTTCTTCTTCACGCCGTCTCCTCCTCCGCCTCTCTCCCGTTCCTACTTTCGCCGCCGTCGTCGTTCTTTTCCGCTCGTGCCTCCGCCGCGGATTTCTTTCTTCCGTTCGTTCCGGCGCAGCTCTCTGTTAGCGGTTTTGCGCTGATTTTCTACTCCTTTCTTGTTACTGGTATGTCTTTCTAACGAAAAAATAAAAACATTCTTGCCGCAAATTGGGACGCGGTTTGTGTTTGTTGTTCTGATCCGGACATGATGAATGTGGCTTATTGTTCTTCTGTAATGTAGAATTCAACTACTTGTTTTAAAAAATTAAGACAAAAAGGGTACACAATTTACAATGAAGGGATAACTTGAGCTTATGGATCGTGGAATCTTTTACTTCTGATGCGTTTTTTGTTATCTTGTCAATATGATTGGTTTTGCAGGAGCTGAGTGGAAGATGAGTTTAATATCTCAAAATGTTGCTGTAATTAGTAGTATTGAGAAGGTTACTGAGGACAATACTGTTGTCTCTTCATCTCCGTTGAGAAAAGTAGATGCTAGTGATGTAGAAAACTCTGGGGTAGATACTACTCGGGCAAAGAAGAGAAAGAAAGAACACAAAAAAGAAGATGAACAAATAGTAAAAGAACAACAAAAGGAAATGGAGAAGCTTGAAAACTTTCTTTTTGGATCACTCTATTCCCCTGTTGAATTTGGGAAGGATGAAGAGAAAAATGGTTTTAGTGCTGAAGAAAAGGATTCTGCTTTGTACATTATGGACCGCTCTGCAAATAATTCCCTTTCCGTGTATGAAAATGATGTTGGGCTCCTAGATGAGAGTTCTAATAAGGAGGAAGCTCAGCAAAGGAAACCGGTATGGGTCGACGAGGAAGAGGAGAAGGCCTCAGTTAATATTACTAATGTTAGTAGACTGAGAAAATTGAGGAAGGAAGAAGATGAGAAATCGATTTCGGGTTCAGAGTACGTGTCGCGACTGAGGGCTCAGCATGCCAAGCTAAACCCCGGTACCGAGTGGGCTCAACTTGATGCACAATCCAGGGGTGGCAGTGATGATGATGATGATCTAACATCAGATGATGAAAATGCAGTTGCATTGGCTGATGGTTACGATAATGTCGATTCTATTGACGATATCCTTAGAACAAATGAGAATCTTGTAGCGAAGAGTGGTGCTAAATTGTTGCCTGGTCTTCTTGAATACTCGAGACTTGTCGATGCGAACGCACAGGAGCCATCAAATGGTCCTATCCATTCGGTTCAGTTTCATCGCAATGCTCAGTTACTGCTAGCTACTGGGTTGGATCGGAAGCTTCGATTTTTTCAGATTGATGGGAAACGGAATACCAAAATTCAGAGCATTTTTCTCGAGGATTGCCCCATACGAAAGGCATCATTTTTGCCTGATGGATCTCAGGTCATCATATCTGGGAGGAGAAAGTTCTTCTATAGCCTCGATCTAGTGAAGGCAAAAGTAGATAAAATAGGCCCTCTTGTAGGTAGAGAGGAGAAAAGCCTTGAAGTTTTTGAAGTTTCTCCTGATTCTAGCACGGTCGCATTCATAGGTAATGAAGGCTATATCCTGTTAGTGTCGACCAAAACAAAGGAGCTCATCGGGACGCTTAAGATGAATGGAACCGTTCGTTCCTTGGCGTTTGCCGACGATGGACGACAGCTACTGAGCTCTGGTGGCGACGGGCAGGTCTACCACTGGGATTTGAGAACAAGAACGTGCATCCACAAGGCTGTCGACGAAGGTTGCATCAATGGCACAGCACTTTGTACGTCTCCTAACGGAGCGTTGTTTGCAGCGGGTTCTGACAGTGGTATCGTTAACATCTACAACAGACAAGAATTCTTAGGGGGCAAGAAGAAGCCATTGAAGGCCATTGAGAATCTGACCACCAAAGTAGACTTTCTCAAGTTCAATCACGATGCTCAAATATTGGCAATCTGTTCAAGGATGAAGAAAAGTAGTTTGAAGCTGATACATGTTCCTTCTTTTACCATATTTTCGAACTGGCCACCGCCGAAGAAGAACCTTCAGTACCCGTCATGCTTGGATTTCAGCCCCGAAGGAGGCTACATGGCTGTCGGAAATGCTGCTGGAAAGGTATTATTGTATAAACTACATCATTATCAGCATGCTTAGATTTGATCTCCATAGGCTTAATCATAATGGATTGCGCTACAGTTTTGACACTTTTATTATTAGTTCTTACAATCAGCTGTTACTTCAGCAGAGTGTCTGAAGTTTGTACCTTGTTTACTTATTAAGAGTCTGTTCTTTTGTTAAAAGATTAAAACTTGATATTAAGCGATTCTTTGAACTACGTTGCTCATGTCTACCTCGTATGATAACCGTTGGTTTTTTTGTTTTTGAGAATTAAGCTTATAAATTATGTTTTCTGATGTTGATTATTTTGCTTTCTTTCTTTCTTTCTTGCTTGAGAATGACTGTCTGAAAAGTCATCACGGTTAAGGAAGAATTGATTATATGTATAGGAAAATTATTTTTATCCATTGATAAAGGCATTATTATAGCTATGATATCAATAAAATTAAGAAACGAAACAGGTGAACAGGCAGAAATGTCTATGAGACGGGTTGGGGGTGAAACAGGTAGAGAGATGTCTACGAGACGGGTTGGGGGTGAAACAGGCAGAGAGATGTCTACGAGACGGGTTGGGGGTGAAACAGGCAGAGAGATGTCTACGAGACGGGTTGGGGGTGAAACAGGCAGAGAGATGTCTACGAGACGGGTTGGGGGTGAAACAAGCAGAGAGATGTCTACGAGACGGGTTGGGGTAGGACAAGGTTTCTCTACTCCCTCCTTCCTCCTTAGATCTCGAGGATCTATGCCTTATTCGAAGGCTTGGTCCCATGGAGCAATTTTTACCAGTAATTTTAAATAAATAAAAAGGAAGGGCAAAAAGAAAATCAAAGATATGAAAGGGAATAGGTTAAAAATAATAATAATAAAGACAAAATAACTTTTTTAAAAGTGTGTCTTCATTCTCACGTTCTAGAAAAATATCATAAACTATCACCTCATTATTATTATTATTATTATTATTATTTAAGATAAAACATTTTGAAAGAGTTGGAATGTTTTCGAACTAACTCAAAAAATATATTAATAACAAATAAATACAATAAAATAATGATAAATAGTGATTGAAGTTAAATTATAAGTTTATTTTTTCAATATTGTGTGTATTTAAGAATTAAACAAAAAATAAAAAATTTTGAGATTTTAAACATAAATTTCAAATTTATATCCAATAAATCATTTAATTTAAAAAAAAAATTAATAAAAATTCAATTTAAAAATCCATAATTATAGGAGAGGCTTTACACGGGCGACAGATAAGATAATTGAAACGACATGTCGGAGGAATGAAGCTAACGAGCAGTAACGATAAGATATCGTCCCATCCCCGTCTGTCTCGCGGAATATCCATCACCGAAACAAATGGCGTGAAGGACACGCGGTATATGGCGCGAGTGGGGGAAAAGGCGGCAGTAATTATTTGAACTGTTTTCGAGGCTACCACCCCTCGCCCCCACTCGCGTGCATCAGCCAGTAAAGCCCATACAAAATCCCATTTCCTCTTTCTGAAACTTTCTGCCCCAACTTTCTCAT